GGAGACAGCTAAAGTGCAGGCAGCGAGCTGACAGCAGCGGCGGGCAGGCAGGGGGAGAGGGCTCAGCACCCCCCTGCACCCCCCCAGATCTCCCCAGTTGTGTGTCGTCGTCCCCCCCGCCCCAATCCCTCCTTGAGCCGCCGCAGAGGGACCGAGCGCTGGGAGCTCACCCCGGTCCCCAGGCTGGCTGGGGAGGGGGTGGGGGGAAAAAAAAAAAAAAAAAAAAGCAACCTAATTAAAAAAAAAAAAAACCCAACCCCATAAAGAAGGGAAAAAGGTGGTGTAAGCCAGAGAAGCGCCGAGCTGAAGTTGCTGTGGCTAACAAGCTTATTTTGCGGCGATGCTTTGCGGAGTAGGGTCGTGTTTGTGCACTACGGCTGTTAAGAGAAGTGACGGAGAAGGTTGTTAATACCCATGGAAACATATTTTGATCAGCTCAAAAAAAAGAAACAACAACCCCAAACACCCCAACCCAGAGAGACGCTCATCTGGAAAGATAATTACATCAGAATCAAACCAAACATTTCCTTGAATATGTGATTTCATTTATCCTCTGTCACGGGGGTGAGGGGGGCTTCAAGTAGAAAGAGGTGAAAATTAATTTTTAATAGATTATTGGCCAAACCGGGATCGTTCCCTGCGACACTCCCCCACCCCGGCAGAATTTGACTTCTTTGAAAATAATTCCACATCATAGGTAGCGCGGAAGGGAGCAGCGTGGCACGGAACAGGCAACACCATCAGACCCGTTCCTTCCTTAAAGGTGAAAAAGAGCAAACGGGCCTTACTTTCCTGGGGAAGAGAGCCGATGATCTACCTTATTTATTATTTCCCCCCCCACCCCTTTCAAATACATATCTGTAGTCTTTACCAGATGATTAAAAATCCCTCTCGCTTTTCCTACCAGACTTGTGCTAAAGTAAGCCTTGCTTTCAAACAGTTTTTCAGCTGGGTGTGTGACAGGCATTGGCTGAGCTGCTGATGCCCATTCGACAGGCACTGTTGAGCTAAAGTGGTGTGACGGCACAGTTTTGTTAAGCTGTGAACAAAGGGCTGGAGATGCCTCGCTGGCATCATCCATGTGCATATTGGCCTTGTCACAGTTTTGCTTGATTTAATGCTCTGTTTATTCCTCGATATTAGAACTTAAATTCCAAACAATATGTTTTCGTATACTACGCGCAAACTTTATTTTAAAAGCTTTCGCTCCCGAGAACCACAGATCCATTTGCCTCTCCGATATCCGTGCAGCAAACATTTAAAAACGTAGCTGCCAGAAAAATAGGTGGCCGGTAGCCTCTTCACTCTTATCCAGTTAAAAAAAAAAAAAAAAAGGGATTTCAGTTTGAAAAAAGTCGTGTGAGGGTAAGAGATTTATTTCTTCTTTGATCATTTCTTGAGAGTTGTTATTTTTTTTCAACAGTGGATTTGCTTATAAGCTGCTAAGGAGAGGTTACCCGGTGGGCAGGCGGGGCGGGCAGGACGGGCCGTGCACGTGCCCTGTTGTCCCGGCGGGCTGGCGGGGATAAACGCGGCGCTTCGCAAATACCTGTAAGCCTGGGCGGGGGACTATTGGCGGCAGACATGAAGCAAGCGGGGTTACGGCAGGTTAGTGGAAGGGAGCAGGAAAGCAGATTAAGTTGAAAATGTATATTTTTTTATATATATATATATATGCTCATTAGGTGGCCACAACTTTGTATCTCAGCAGTTCACCAAGAGAAAAATGTGAGCATACGGAGCTATATTTCGGTTCTGATTCTCTTCTTTTAGGGATGCCAGAGGCTTTATCTATAGAAAGTTTTTTTTTGGGGGGGGGTGTTGGTGTTTTTTTCTTTTTTGGTTTGGTTTTTTTCTTCTCCTTCTTCGTCGCCTTTTTAAACTCTCTTCAGGTTTGCTGCAAGTGTTTGCTAAGAGATTAGTTAGCCAGCTTCCATGGCGGAGGTAGCCCTGGGAAGCAGCTCGTTGCTGGGAGGAATGCTCAGTAGGTCAGGGCGTGAAGATATAAGGAGCTGCCCAGCTGAGGCTGGGGATCAGGTATTTTCCTCTTTGTTTCCTATCAGAGACAAAGTGCTTATGGAAAGGTTTGTGGTGAGACATCAAATCCCAGCAGGAGCACAGATGTTCCCACTTTTACAGGCTTACCAATGAACATTTCAGCTTAAACAAGTTTATGAAATAAAAGATTTATTTATTTTTCCCCGGTAGATGCAGCATCTTAGTTTGATTGTGTAAAGATTGTATCGCTCCAGCCACTCCGGGTTATTCGGTCCAAGGCACGGTGCTTTACTCGAGGGCTGTAAGTAGGGATGGGAGAGAGGGAAGGAGGGGGAGGAGGGAGCCTTCAGCAAAATGAAAGTATTCCTTCTCCAAACAGTGCAGTCTAGAGCCTAAATCTGAAATTGAATCTGCTGGGCAAAACCTGTACTATTTTTCTACCTGCCCTTAGTCTGCTTCCTTTCAACTATGACAGTTTTACTAACTGAAATGAATGGGCTCGCTTTCTCCCGTACCTTTTCTCAGTATGCGTTTACATCAAGTACTTCAAACAGAGAGCTGGGTGATATATGTAGGGGGACAGCTTGCACAGAATAAGCTTTAATGGTTAATTTTTGTATAGCTTTATAAATGAAAGGGACTTAAACCTACTAGCAGTATAGATCACAAGACCTTATGTGGTCTATTCTTCTCTAGATGCACAAGAGATTTACGTGCCTAAGTCCCATAAGAGTTAATGGGAGTTACGCATGTAAATCTCTTCCACAGTGAGATAATAGACCCTTTTATGTATGGATAGCTGGATTCTTACAAAAATCACCTACTGAACAGTAGACTTTATGTCCTTCCCTCTTAACAAATATTTATAAAGCGAGCAGGCCAGCAGATGAGACCAGGAACCCCCCAAGATGTCTCCAAACGGCAGCGACCCCCATGCCCCCGTGGAGGGTAGCAGCATGGGAGCCCTCCCCAGGTCGGCCTCGTCCCTTCGGTTCGGTGTCCCGGTTTTGGTCTGCGGTGGGTGATGCTGCAGGTCTGGTGGTGATGGGCTAGCACAGCGGCTGATGTGGCTTCTCCCCCCTTGGCAAGTCCTAGCTGATGGAGACCTCTCCCTCCATGGATTGTGTGGGCAACTGGGAGAGCTGCCACCTCTCTTCTGGGGGGGTCCCCTCCCCTGCTGCAGGCAGCACAGGTAACCTCTGGGGTGGGCTTCTCCCCGTGTCCCACCTGTACTGGGGGATTCATAGCCTTGAGGTGGGAGACCCCCAGCAGAACCATCCCGGGCCACTGGCGGAGCACGGTGGTGGTGGCACCATCTCCCAAAGCCCGGGTGCTGCTAGAGCCACGCGTCTGCTCCCTTCCCGCTCCGGTGCGGCCTCCCTCCCTGGGAAAGCAAGCAGGCTTTGCCTCCAATGGGCACGGTCTCGGTGCATCTCCACGGGGAGATAGATATATAGATATATATATATATATATGTATAAAACTTGGACGATCTGTATCTGCCAGCCATGAGTCAGATTAAGGTCTTATCCCCCTGTAACATGCAGCTGGAGATGGCCGGTGCCACGGCACACGTGTGTCAGTAACGATCCCCGGGGTTGGTGAACTGTGAGTCTTTTTGCCATCGTTGTTTCTTTCCATCACTCACCTGCTCCTTCCCGATAGCGATCTGAGGGAGTTGGGCAAGTGGCAGACTTGCCAACCCGCAGCTCCCAGGCTTGGCAAAAAGCAAGCCGAAAAAAAAACCCCAACCCCAACCAAACCCCCAAACTTACGCCTCGAGACTATCAGATTAAATCCCAGGGTTTCTACCAGCGGCGGGATGGGAAAAGCCCATTGTTTGTTGATTATCGTGTCATCAGCCCCGGCTGATACGAGGATGCTCAAGGAAAACACACTTCGGTTACAGTTGATTTTCAGATTCCAAAATGGTGCTGCAAAGTCTGTGCATGCCTAATTATATTTTATGCTAGGCTGTGCAATACAAAATGTATGCTGCAGCAATCAGTGAGTTAACAGTATCAATCAATTTGTAAACAGATGAAGTCACTCATTCCCAAACTGGTTTTCCAAAAACAATTACTAAATTACAATAGAAAAAAATTGTACAGTTACTGTATTTGTGTGCTGTGTTACAATCAACATACCAGGGAAACAAAACAATTTAATGCAGAAAAATCATCATTCATCTACATTATAATTGCTTCTTTTTCACATCTACAGGGCGGTTAATTAAAATTGTGATTAAATGCGGTCGCGCTGCCTAAGATGTCTTGCCCAAAACAGGTGGTACAGAATTTAAAAGTAAAAAAAATGTAATTAGCATTGGAAATTGAGAAATTGCCTGTAAGAATCAGTGTTAATTTCAGTCAGTGATGAGGTAATTTATAAATGAATGCAGTGGAGGCTGTGCAAATGCACAATTGCCTTCCTGCCTATTCTTAGCATTCTCAGCATGCAGGTGAAAATGTTTTCAAAATATTGAGGTAATTTGAAAATCAATCCGTGCATTCGGTATCTTTTTTTTCTCCCCGTTCGCAGCAACCGCTGAACGAACGCTGCCAGAGATGGCAGGGTGCATCACTTTTGCACTTTTGGGGGAGCGATATTCTGCCTGCCGTGGCACCAGCTAGAGTTGAACTAAGGAAAATGTTTGGCTAAGATCCTTTACAAAGGCCAAAACCGGCGCTTGAAGTCCCCAGTAATCCCGAATGTCTTCAGCCACGGTGTGTGTTTGAACGATGCGGTATCAAAAAACCAAGTGACTGCGACCCGCAGTGAGTTGAAACAGCGCAGCACAGATAGCGCGGAATAGGAGAGATGCTAATATGGCATGGAAATCATAACGATTTCTTGTTTAAAATTAGTACAGCACACTAGAAAAGCCTCCGTAGTACCGATGCTTTCTGCAAAAACTCTCTTTTTAGACCCGCATTTCAAATTTCATCCTCCAACCACAAAAGGATCGTTAACTAGGTTATGCATACAGAGATTTTCCCTTAGATGAACTTTGTTTGTTGGTATTTTGGTGCTTTCTCTAAACTTCCAGCGAGCAAATGAGAAATGCTAATTCCTAACACAAAAATATGACCTGCAGATACAAAAAGCTAGAGGCAAACCTGACAACAAACAGATATTAAAGATTTAAAATCTTCTTGACAGGCAAAAAAAAAAAAAAAAATCCAAGGCACACGTTGCTGGAACTGACATTTCCATGATTTGAACAGTCCTTGTCCCCCTGTTTGACTCCGCAGAGAGCCCTGGCTTAGTTATCCCTGTGTATATTTAAAAATAACTTGGACTTTCGATAGCGTCGATCGCCGGGCGGGAATATGAGAAAGCTGTTTGAGTTTTTGAACAGGGACGTACAGGTGTTGGTACCAGGTCGCTGTGAAATGCACGCACGGTGGCTTTTGAACATAACACGCTTTAATTAAAGCAAGCTGGTCTTCCTGCAGAAAGGCTGATTTAGCCATGTAATTTAACTATTGAAGCCCTTTCTATTAATTTTTCCTTGACATATAATAATGAACTTTTCTTCCGGCTGACACTTGGTTGGTTGGGTTTTGTTTTGGTTTTTTTTCCCCCCTTCCTTTTTGCTAAGCCCCGCGCACTTTCAGAGGCGGTTTTGATGCTATTTAATTTGCTCGTACAAAAACCCCCGCGAAGGGATTAGGCCCAGGAAGGGACGAGGGTAAGGCCATGCCGTGCCGGTGCGTGCTGGACCGCTGTGGTGCTGCGGGGAGGCTGCAGCGGGGCCGGGCAGAGGATGCGGGGTGGGATGGTGGCGGGATGCTGCCCCGGCCCCCGGCTCTGCTGGTCCAGAGCTGGGGAAGGTGAGGGCAGCATCAAGTGCCATGTGTGCTCTCCGGCGAGTCAATTAACCTCTCCGTGCTCATTTTCCCTCTCTATGAGACGGGGAAATACTGCGGGACTCGTTCAGAGGGCTTTTGCGGAGCTTAATATCTCTAAAGCGTTCTGCCATTCTCTGGGAGCGCAGAGGAGCAAGGATCGTGCGTCGTTTCGTCAGAGGGCAAGCGGATGCCAAGGAATTTGACCAAGAAAATTACGAATGTATGTTTCTAATAATCAAATTCTTGGAGTTTATTATACAACCGATTATTCTAATTTAGAAGACAATATTGCTTTTAACTGCCACCTC